AACAGGGTAGCTTGTTTCTGATACCAGACTCCACAAACTCAGATCAGTGAGTAGGGAAGCGTGCTTAGTTATGTGTGACACTTGGGCAAATGTACAACACAATGCATTTGAGTGCTAAAAAAGTCGCACATTTCTCTATTCAGAAACTTAAGTTCTTATTTTTCCAGATTTCTCCGCGGATTGAGTAAGTAGCTTTGTTTTCAAAATGAAAATTCCTGATACCCGAAGCCACTTTGATGATGAAACCATATAAAATAATCTTTATTTCATCCTGGGAAAAAAGGATCAGAAACATTGCCCCAGAGCCTTCAACTAAGAATTGCAAATCATTATTTTGTCAGAATTTCACATAGGTTTTGAGTATGGATCAGGTAGACGTAACATTTTATAGAATTCAAAAACATTTTTTTTTTCAAAATGAAAAAAAGCTCATTAGGAAAAAACTCACGCCTGTCTTACACAAAAGTGCTCTAAGGCTCTGAGCCATTGGCTCGAACTGTTTGAAAACTATTGCTGAAGTTGTTGTGATGAGTCTCGTTGGCACTAGTCAACATTTTAGATATAAAATGAATGATTAAGCTATCTGAAAAGTCTCTCAGCTGAAAACTTTGGTAATTATGTATAGTAGCTTTGTTATTCATCTGCTTGGTGGCAATATTTTACCTAATGCTAGTAAGGGAACTTTCCAGTAGATTAACATGGTCCTGAAATGCACATAAGAAGGTCAGGTGTACTCAGGATATGAAGAAGGGAGATTAAAAGAAAAAGTACTGGTGAATGAGAAGGAATTTATTTCATGGTCCATGGATTTTGGCGTTCTATAGTCTTCAGCTGCTAGTTAAATATACCGATAGCGAAATGATTCCATTGTGTGTCCTGAATGGAAGGAAAGCTACAAATTATTGCTACAGTCACTGTAACTAAAGTCAATAAAGTCTCTCAGCAAAAATGTGTAGCCTAATTTATTAAGTGCATGATCAAGAAATGGGGAAACTGTGTCACACATTCTGCGTACATGTGATGTGGAGCCAGAAAACTCCATGCCGCCTTTGATTTCTACCTGTAAAATTAAACTTTTGTTCTTGGTGGGTTCTTGGTCCCAGTGCCCTTTCTCGCTCTTTTATTTCCTGTCCCTCCTCCGACTTGATACTCATGTAGTGTCTGTTGGAATATTTCAGTAGTCACTGAAATGATTCAGCAACCTGAGGGATGTTTTTAAAAAATATTTTCTTCAAAGATTAGTCTGAAGGACTAATGGACCACAGCTTCCAAGGTCTCTACCAGACTAAGTCCAATACAGCTAGATGGTGCCTGGCTACCACCGCTCTCTGCTCTGACCAGGATCACAACAGAGGGTTCTGGACAGAGCTGGAGAAGGATGTAGAACAAAATTCTAACACACACAAAAAAGACCAAATTTACTGGCCTAAAGGAGACTGGAGAAACCCCGAGAGTATGGCCTCCAGACACCCTTTTAGCTCAGTGGTGAAGTCACTTCCAAGG